TCCTGTAAAGATTTACAGCCTCGGAAACTCTGTTCAGGGTCGCTATGGGTCAGAACCAACTCAACGGCACTTAACAACAACAATAATACATGGTATAAAGCAGTTTTTGGAACTCTTAATTACACGGGTTTCAGGGCCCACTGTAAACAGTAAAATTATTAATGGTAAATTTTAACACATGGAAAAAAGTAAGAGTCAAATAACTGCTATTAACATTTTGATAAAGAAATTCCCACTATCTCTACGTTTGTAACATGATTTTGCATGTTTGGATCTTATCATCCATCTTGTTTTATACCCTCATTTTATTGTTGTTGTTAGGTGCCATCAAGTCAGTACCAACTCATAGCGACCTTATGCACAGCAGAACGAGACACTGCCCGATCCTGGACCAACCTCAGTATTGTTGCCACGCTTGAGTCTATTGATGCTGCCACATGGCCAGTCCATCTTGTTGGGGTTCTTCCTCTTTTTCTCTGACTCGTCACCTTACCAAACATGATACCCTTTCTCCAGTGATTGGTTCCTCCTGACAATATGTCCGAAGTATGAGAGATGAAGTTTGGCCATCCTGGCCTCCAAGGAGCACTCTGGCTGTACTTCTTCCAAAATGGATCTATTGGTTCTTTTGGCAGCCTATGGCACTTTCAGTATTCTGCTTCAACACCGTAATTTAAATGCATCAATTCTTCTACGATCTTCCTTCTTCACTGTCCAGCTTTCACATGCATATGAGGTTATTGAAAATACTATGGCTTGGGTCAGGCGCACCTTAGTCCTCAAGCTGACATCTTTGCTCTTCAACACCGTAAAAAGGTCTTGTGTAGCACACTTGCCTAGTGCAATACGTCGTTTGATATACCCTCATTTTTGGTTGGTTGACTGTGTGCTGTGGAGTTGGTTCTGACTCATAATGACCCTATACAGGGTTTCCAAGGCTGTAAATCTTTACGGGACCAGAAAGCCTCATCTAACAGCTGGTAGTTTCGAACTGCTGACCTCATGGTTTGCAACCCGATTCGTCGTAACCACTACGCCACCAGACTGTCATTTTACTTGGTGTATATTAATCACTGTTTCATAAGTGTAAGTAGTGATTATGGAATGGCATAAAGAACATCATACACTAAAAGCAAAAGCTCATAAGAAAGAAAAACACCCAACGAAATTTCCTGTTGAAAATAAGATAAGCTAAAGCTACTGGAAGAAATATTGAAGTAAAAGAGCTAAACAGAAGATTTCAAAGAGCAACATCATGAAAATGGAGAAAAAATTGACGTCTAGGATTTGATTTTACTTGGATCCAACATCAACTCCTAGGGAAGCAGCAGCCAAGAAATGAAATGATGTATTGCATTGGACATACTTGCTGCAAAAGACCTCAAGCAAAGATGTTACTGTGATGACTAAGGTATTTTCAGTCACCTTGTATGCATGCAAAACCTAGATAGTGAATAAGGAAGACTAAAGAAAAACCGATCCCCTTGAATTATGGTCTTGGCAAAGAATGTTGAATATATCATGAATTGCCTCGTAGAACAAGGAACCCTGGTTGCACAGTGGGTTAATGAGCATTGGGCTGCTAACTGAACAATCTATGGTTTAAGCTCACCAGCCACTCCTTGGGAGAAAGATGAAGCGGTCAACTTCACTCTGGAGCAGTTTTACTCTGTCTTACAGAGTTGGCTGTGAGTTGGAATCTGCTTGATGATATTGTGTTTGAGTTTCGCTAGAAGAATAAACAAATCTGTCTTGGAAGAAGTATTGCCAGAATGCTACTTAGAAGCGAGAGAATGGCGAGACTTATCCTCATGTACTTTGGACAAGTCATCAGGAGAGACTAGTCCTGGAGAAGGACATCGTGCTTTGTAAAATAATGGGTCAGCAAAAACAGAGCAAGACTCTCGGTGAGTTAGATTGACAATGACGGCAACAGTGGGCTCAACTGTAATAACAGTTGTGAGGATGTCACAAGATCAGACAGTGTTTTTGTTCTCTTGTATATGAAACTGACTCAGTGGTACCTAACAACAACTACTGGTATTCCCTTTTGTTTGTTTTTTTGCTGTAAAACAAAGCTTATTATTTTCATTTGGTCCACGGCTTGGGAGAAGAAGGACTCCAGGGTGTTGACTGTGCTGCCTCTGTGTCTGGAGAGCAAGGTTCAGGCAGAAGGTCTGCGGAGAGCAGGGAATGCTGAAGACCCTTCACAGGGTGTGTGGCTCCACAGGCTCTTCCTAGTTGTGCTGGAGAGTGAGCCTCTCGAAGAGGTATTCGCCCAGCCCTGCCTGGGGACCAGCCATCCTATGGAGATTGGTCAAGTGGTCGCCCATCTTCTTGATAATTTTCACTTCCTCGTCGAGGAAGTGGTTCTCCAGAAAGTCACAGAGGTGGGGGTATATGTGGATAGTACCCACGGTGTGCAGATCCAGAAGAGACTGGTTCAGGTTCTTCTCCAGGGCCAGGGCAGCTTCCGTGGAGTCCAGGGTTCTCCCCCGCTCATCTTGGGAAGGCTTCTGCATGTCCTGCAAGAGTGAGCAACCACCACACTGTTTTTGCAGTTTCAAAAGATGCTTAGCACCTTCACGCTTCGCCGCCAACTCACAGTATAAGTGTCCCACGCCTTCCAAAGCCACATTATAGTGATCGAAATAGAAGCCCAGAGAGAGGGAGGTGTAAGGCCCGCAGATACAGATTAACCAGACGGTTGTTGACACCAGTTGTTAACACTGGCCTCCGTTTCAGCAGAATAATTCTGACGGATCTGAGAGTGCATGGTTGGTTGAAGATTTGGAGCTAACCACACACACTAAAAAAACTGTGTTTAGCTGGCCCTGGTAACAGGGAATGCTCAAGAAGATGGTCCTGGAGAAGAGATTGTGCCTAAAGAAGTTGTTAGAGGTGGTCTGAGGCTGGAGGTGGGGGGGCGGTCTCCGAATCTGTTCCATCCAAACACTGTCGAAGCAAGACACAGATCCACGGGACCGCAGCGTGAACTTCTGGTATTCTCTTTTGACTGGCAAATTCCTTTAAAAAATTGATTCTAAGGCAATAATTAGGATATGCACAAAGATAACAGGTATGTGTTTCACAATATAAACCAGTAGTAGAATATATTTATTGACATTGAATATGTATATATCATAAGGTGAAGAAATCACCTCACTAAATTGTAGACTGTGGTTTCTGTTTTCTTTATAAATTTTATCTGTGTATACACATATACAAGGTCGGTGGTTCAAGCTTACCAGCTGCTCCTTGGAAACCCTATACAGGGTTGCAATGGGTTGGAATCAACTTGACAGCACTTAACAACAACAACATAACACATATGCAAAGAAAAATAGCAACAAAATTACATATTTGGGAAAGGAAATTTCAGATAGAAATGTAAAGATTTTAAGTTTTGTTCTGTTTTGCTTTCTGAGTTTAATGTTTTTCTATGAAATGTAGGTAATGTATCATTTTTTAAAAGTTAGCATCAACACTAATAAGATACAAGTATTGTTTGTACATTGACTCTCTAGATACAGGCCCTACTTGGCATCTGTCCTAAACTATCTTATAGGTGCTTTGTCATCCTTATCCAGAGGTTAACTGGATATTTCAGGGAACACATCAGTGACGTTGCTATTATTGGTTGCCATCAAGTCATAGTGACCTTAGCATAACAACAAAACCTTTCCTGGTTCTGCATCATCGCATATTGGAGTCCATTGTGATAGTAAGTCACTTGGTCTCACTGGATTTCCCTGGTTGTCCTTGGCCCTTTACTGAATCCTAGCATGATGTCCTTTTCTAGTGATTGGTGTATCCTGATGATGAGTCAGAGACTCACCATCCTTGCTTCAAAGAAAGGTTCTGGTTGTATTTCTTCTAAGACTGATAAGTTTGTTCTTTTGACAGTTCACAGTTTGTTCACTATTCTTTGCCAACACCATAGTGTGAATGCATCAATTCTTCTGCCATCTTTTTATTAAATAACTTTTGCAGGCATGTGAAAACCCTATGGGTCACAACATAAATGAATTATCTCCCCCATCCCCCCCCCATGAGTAGTAGTCTAATGGGCAGATGTTCGCTCAATAAATGCATGGTTTGTGTACCCTCTGAAGGTTCAGGTAGTCTTCAGAGTTCAACAGGCACTTTCTACAAATAGCTCGTCTTTCAAATTTGATTCATCCAGCTGTCATACTAGTTTTGGGGCAATCTGATGACAGTGTTGTACCAGGTGTTATGTTTGTTGTAGGAAGCATGTTATAATGTAATTTTTTGTGGGGAGTGGTCTGTTTCCCTGTATATTCCTCAAGGATAAAATGATTAAGAGGTTAAGTCTTTCTATCTTGGTTTCCTCACTTGCCTGGTACCTATCAGATTTCCAAGAAATATTGTTGTCTTATAAATATTTTTGATGTTTAATAAGATGTTAATTAGCAGTCGTGCTATGTTTCTGTTTAGATTGAGATCTCACAAAAGTAAATAATTTTTTTTTTTTTTAGTGTTTTAGAAAATATAATGATTTGATTGAGGTTGTTATTGTTGTTAAGTGCCATCAAGTTGATTCCGACTCATAGCTACCCTGTATAGGGTTTCTGAGGGGTGGCTGTTGGTGGTGTTATGTGCTGTGGAGTCGGTTCTGACTCATAGTAACCCTGTACAGGGTTTCTGAGGCTGTAAATCTTTACGGGAGCAGAAAGCCTCATCCTTCTCCCACGGAACAGCTGGTAGTTTAGAACTGCTGACCCTGAGGTTTGCAGCCCAATTCCTAAATTGCTGACCTTGGCAATTAGCAGTCTAGTGCGTATTGCATAGCACCACACCAGGACTGATTGAAGTTAGGTTAGCATAGTGTGTATCTTGAATGTAAAGTAATAGTTTTGATTAAGAAACAAAATTTAACAATAATAAAATTGTAGGTAGAGGTCAAAGAGATTTAAAAATTGGTGGGCTATTTACTAAATAATTTAAAATTGATGATTAATGTATCTCGGTCCTAACAGGTCAGTCATCGACACCATGAACTGGAATAAAGGTGGCCCTGGCACGAAGAGGGGGTTTGGCTTTGGTGGGTTTGCCATTAGTGCTGGAAAGAAGGAAGAACCCAAGCTTCCACAGCAGTCTCACAGTGCCTTTGGGGCATCTGGTTCTACTTCAGGATTTGGAAAGTCTTCTCTACCGCAGCTCCCTTCTTTCTACAAAATTGGATCTAAGAGGGCCAACTTTGATGAAGAAAATGCGTAAGTTGCTTCTTGGTAATTTAGAAAAGAATATTGGGCATAGGCTTTACATCGGCAGAAATTGAGACAAAGCAGTCACACTTGTACCTGAAATAATTATGATACTTCGTAAATTGATTATATCACTACATTGCATCATTCCTAGAGAGTTACTCCTTTGTAAGGAATATAATACTGGGGTACTTATTTATATCTTATTCCACAAAGGATTTGAGATGATCAGAACTTAAATATAGCTGAAGAGCTTTAAATCATTCATGTGGGTTTTGCTGTTCTTTATTGCATTGTAGTCTTTTATGGAACACCATGTAAATTGTTTTACAAACTAGACAGTTGGCAGAACTGGTAGAATACCGTTTGCCTTAGCACTTAAGTCCCCCAAACTATTATGACTGGCTGGCTATATGCCGTCGAGTGTGTTCTGACTGATAGAGACCCTGTATAGGGTTTCTGAGGCTGCAAATCCTCAGGAGCAGGAAGCCTCATCTTTCTCTTGCCTGGTTAGCAGCCCAGCACAGAACCCACTATGTTACCAGGGCTCCTTGTACTACCTGATAATTAGTAGAAAAATCTGAGATTTGCCCAGTTGTTAGGAAAAATTTCCAATCATCCTTTTAACTTGCTTGTCTAATAAGATGACTATTTGGATTTCAGTATTTGAACTGTAATATCTGTAGATTATAAATTTATTTTTCCTTGAGACTAAATAAATGTCTCATTGCTGTTATTTCCAACTTGGTTGTGACACTACTTAGGTTTTATATGTTTATTTTTTAATTTGTAATAAAAATTGCTCAGGATCATAATCAGATATAACAGTTGGTGTTTAAGGTCCAGCTGAGTCAAGGATCATCATTCTAGGGAACATTTTATCATTTCAGGGTACTTTGGACAGTATATTACAATAATAAAGCCTATCATATAAATGAGGTGCTCTGGTAGCATAGTGGTTACGAGTTGGGCTGCTAACCTCAAGGTCAGCAGTTCAAAACTGTCAGCATTCCATAGGAGAAATATGAGGCTTTCTGTTCCTATAAAGATTTACAGCTTTAGAAACCCTATTCAAGTTCACTGTGAGTGGAACCTACTTCAAGACACACAATCCACCATGTATAAATAAGCATGCATTTTTATGTGTGTGTGTGTA